GAACCTATCTACGTGACTTTACCGAAAGACCCAAAGAATATGAATTCCTGCAGTCACGAAAGCTTTAAGTCAAGATTTCACAAATAATTGTTTTATTTATTTTTATGGATTTGTGAAATGCCAAACAATCCCAGTTTTTTGTGTATCGTGTGTTGTCTTTATCCCGCACTTCGAATTAGCAGATGATGTTGCACCTGTAAGCTGTGTGAATAACGAAGATGGCAGGGCATTGTTAGCATGTGCTTATGCACGGCAAACGTGCTCACTGTAATTCTTACTTGGATGCCACTGTGGCGAAAAGTTTACTACTTCGCCTGGTTTCCAGGAGGTTGTGGGTTTGATCCCGATCTTGACGCCTGCTGTATATTCGGAGTTTGCGTGCCTCTCTCTCTGTGTTTGCGTGGATTTTTCTCCGAGTCCTCCGGTTTTTCCCTCCACATTTATAATCACGCGTTTAGACTATTTGGCTGATTCTTAATTTTGGAGCTTTCGTGACTGCAGGAATTATTCTTTGGTTCTTTCGGTTAAGTCACGACTAAAGATAAAATCATAAATTAAATAATAGCATATTACGACGTTTCGATTGCAACACACGCAATCATCATCAGGCATGAAAGAAATAGCAACAAAAATCTAACTATTATTTAATTTATTATTTATCTTTAGACGTGACTTAACCGAAAGAACCAAAGAATATTTGGCTGCTATCAATTCCCGCACGACGACAAGCCACTTAGTTGAGCTATCATTCGTGATGGCGTAGTCGCTTCTGAAAAAGAGTGATGCAGCTCAGTGGGCGTCTCCTGGTGAAATTATTAAATTGTTTCAATCGTCAACGGCCGCTCGTGCCGACAATCCCAGCCACCGGCAAAAAACTCGACCAAGCACCCACGCCACAAACAATGTAATTTCCATTTCGGTGGCTGCCGTGTCCTTTTCGTAAGGCCACGTGGTGTGTTTGGCCCTGACACCGACTGTGTAAATGTGGCTTTGGAGAGTCGTCATAACAATTGGCTATTAAGCGCACACGTCCTTGTGTCCGCAGCGGAGCTGCATGAGGTCGCCTCCAAAAGGTTCATTTAATTTGCTTGGCGTCTTTGCTTCGTGTTAACAAACGGAGGCTTAATGGCCCCGCGTAAGTATTTGTTTGTGATGTTATCACACTGCTAATGTGGGAGAAGACAATTTTTAGTCACCACGTGGCCTTGTGTGTACGCGTGTTTGTGTGTACGTGTGTGTGTACGCGTGTGTGCGCGTGTGTACGCGTGAGTGTGCGTGTGTACGCGTGTGTGTGTGTACGCGTTAGTGTGTGTGTGTACGCGTTAGTGTGTGTGTACGCGTTAGTGTGTGTGTGTACGCGTGTGTGTGTATACGCGTGTGTGTGTGTACGCGTGTGTGTGCTTTGGGGAGCGGTAGCTTGGTGGTTACCTGACTGCACTGTGAACCTGAGGCCCATGTTCGATTCCCAGCCATGCCTAACATCATCTGTGATTATCTGAACTGATCTCTGGCCTCCCTTAGATTAGCTCGGCCTTAAATGAGCACGTGGTATGGTGCGTAAACATCGCCACTATGAAGACAAAGGTAGTCGGGCGTAGTGCTAGACATCTGAGTGTCATCCCGGTCTTAGTAGGTGCTCGCTAACAGCACTTGCCCCAACAGCCTGTGTGAGCTATAATGGGGCTCTTTGTGTGTTCGGGGCTTGAGTGATGGTGCAGTGGTTAGCACACTGTGCTCCAGTCTTGAGAATGGCAATATGTTCAGTAGCTACATGCCAATGTCGAGGCCTGTACTCCACGAGATGACCTCACGGAAGAGTTCGTGTAGTTTTACTATTTCTCCATGTACGATATGGCCCACTGTTTTATGTTGCCTGGCCACGGACGCACGGCTGCGGCTTATCTTCTATGTTGCATTCACGACGGAAATATGCACATCGGCCTGATGATTGATTGGTCTGATGCGGTTGATCGTTACGGCGGTGTCTTGGAGGAATGTCAAAGGCTGGAGGTGCCATGTCAGGTGTCGATTCTGGACGCCTGCGATTGTTTGTCAGCAATTCCTCTCGGTGAGATTCTAGGTAGAGCGACAGCAACACAACGGAAAGGGGAATCGGGACGTCAGTCTGTGTCAGAGGAATATTGTTGAGGATTTTTGTTGACGGCTGGGGCAGTTGTCATCAGCAAGAAAACATTTAAAGTCTCTCGCGATTTGCACGAATCTTCAGGAAATCCTACGGGAATTCTAAAGCGACATTCAAGGTTTAGCTTCTGTAGAGTTTAATTCGTGCAATAAACTCTCTCACACACACACGGGAGAGTTGTATGTCAATACACAACGGCTTATGAGATGAACAAAGAAGAAAACACGCAAAACCGTGAATTATCTCCTTAATGTCCTCACGACAATGTTGACCTGATGACGTTTGGAAAATTTAATTGACGACTCTGACAACCCTGCTCACCTTGGCCAAATGGCATTTTACGTATCACCTTCCGACCGGCACGCGTGCTTAATTATCCTCGACGGCGACACTCGTTCAGCCCTCGCTCGAATGGCTGGCGTGCCTGGGTCCCGCGATAAATCCGGCTCCGCTTTCTCCGCGCTCTGCGGAGATGGCACTTTTGACCGGGGCCAAGCAGCACAAGCCAGCGCACGCAGCCACCCCGTGCCCCTTGTACGCGCCCCGTGCCCCCTAATGTGGAGCCTTGAGAAAGGGAAGTGAAGTCAAATGGTGAATTGGAGGGTGGATGAGGGGGGTGAGCCGGTCACTGTTTTGAGAAATGAAAAAAAGTCAACATTTCAGGTGGGTGATGCTGAGAGGGATACGAATGCTCTATGCCTCTTTGGCATGATTGGGTTTTTTTGTTTTCTTGTAACGCCCTCGGACTAGAATTTAAAGCGGTATTGCAAGTAGCCCCCCTTTTCCCCTGTGCCTGTCTATCCACCTGTCCATAGCAGGGGGTAAATAAAGCTCCTGCCATGTTGATCCAGTTCTTAGGGAGACTCTAGCGCGGAGTTGTGTGTTCGCACTTACGCAGTAACCTCATTGAAAACCGGACACGTTCATCAAATGGTTGTTCGAACATTTAGAGGCCCAAACCAGAGCTAGAAAGGGGCTATTTTCTCAATTAAGTTACAGCTGAAGAGGCTCCATGTGTAAACAAAAATGCGCGCAGTGTCCAAGTGCGTCTGTTATAGTGATCGTGCATAGGTGGGGGAGCGGTAGTGTAGTGGTTAGCGCGCTGCACTACGAACCTGGCGACCAGGGTTCGATTCCCGCTCACGGCAAACACCAGTGACGATTATCTGAACCGGTCCTGGGCCTCCCCTAGGTCGACTCAGCCTCAAATGAGTACCTGGTGCGGTGTGTAAACATCGCCGCTAGGGAGACAAAGGCGATCGGGCGTGGTGCTGGCCACCCACTCCCTCGTGTACCGTTCCGGCCTTCATAGGTGCTCGCTAACAGCACTTGCCCCTACAGTCTGTTAAGCCTATACGGGGGATATTTGTCTTTATCTTCGTGCATAGGTGCCCGCTAACAGCAATTGCCCCAAGCAAAGTGTGTAGGCTATATGGGAGGTCTTTGTTTTGTTCATGTATACAGCAGTGGTGGAGTGGTTCACGCACTGTTTCTACAAACCCGGCAAACCCGAGTTCAATTCCCAGCCATGGCTGAAATCTGCGGCAAGTGAATTGAAACTGTTTGCTGGGCTTCCTCTCCCCTTAGGTAGACTCAGCCTTATTTGAGTACCCAGTGCGGTGGTAGCAATATCAGCACTGGGGAGAGAGTAAGGCAGCTGCTGTCTGTGTGTTGCACTGTGCTAATAGGTGCTCGCTAACAGCACTTGCCACAGCTGCCTGTTAGAGGCTGCACGTGGGATCATTTTTCGTTGGTCATGGTCGTGTTGGTTTTCTCTGTGCACTGCACCCTGGGTCCTATGCACATCATCAGCGTGAGATGGAAGGTGATAATTCTCATGCGGGATCATTCAATCTTCGTCGTTGGATTAATTATGGATTGAAGGCTGGCATTGTACAAAGAAGCACGTATTAAAGTATTATGAATATGTAAGAATTATAACAGTTAATACAATAAATTTGTCTTCTTAGCTTCATCCATCAGTCAAAGTTGTAATTGTGTGATTCTATAATGAATCAATTTCGAGTAAAAATTTTTCTTGTGATATGCCATGCGGTTATTTGTTATAAACATTTTTTTATATCCACCTGTCACAATATTGCAAACAACTTTTTCCCATCACCGGTGCATTACGGAAAGAGACACCATCATCATCATCATCAGCCATGATTTATCCACTTCTGGATCAAGGGTTCCACAAGCCGCCCCGTGAAATCTCTCACGGTCTTGTGATGCAACAATATTTTTATTTATATATATAGATTGAAAACTAATTTCTTTAGAACTGATTTTTCTTTTGAGTTTATTGTCCTTCCAACGCACCTCCGATAAGCATGGTTGGCTACTTACGGCGCGAAAGAAGTTCAACATACATACAATCTCATTGAGCTGATTTGATTACCGCAATCACCATCCCTTCAGATGCAGGCCCTTGTTGTGGCTGCCACTCCATCATTAGCCTTGCCCACTGACCAAGATACGTCTTCTGGCCAATCAACACTTATTTTTGCTTGTTATGTACGCACGGATGTTGAACTTCTTTCGCACCGTGCTTAGCCAACCGTGCTAATCGAAGGTGTGGGGGAAAGACAACAACCCAGGTTTGCCTTCTGTATTTGTGCCATCTGTTCCTCTGTCTCATGTAATACCCAGCATGCACCGCGCCACTCTTCTTTACCCACTTTTCAGCTTTAGTTTTGATTTTCTTTCAAAAATATCCACGTGTTGTTATTTTTGAGTAACCGCGCAGCTACTCAAGAAAACAAAAAGAAAATCCCACAGCTTAATTTCCTCGCCGTTTCACTCGCGAGCCGTCATTGTTTTTTTTCCTCTCGCCAACCACTCTTCCGGAGCGCAGGCCTCATTCGACTCCAGGAGTTGATCAAGGCGCCGTCGCAGCTCAACCTGAAACTGAAAATTCGCCAGCTCCCGCCGGACACGCGTGACACCAAGCCGCTGCTGAAGGAGATGAAACGAGGCCGCGAGTTTTATCTCATCTTTGACTGCGGCCACGAGACGGCGGCTGAGATCCTGCGACAGGTAACAATCGACAATTAATAGTTACAATAAAAAAAATATACGTTAATAGATAAAACAACGTGTATTTCAAAACCGAAACAGGAGGTGGATTTCTCAACAAATCTGGCTGTCGCCTGATGATGCTGGTTGTTGTTTTAATTACTGGCCAAACGTCACAGTACTCGAATAGCAAATGTTCTAGAGGGTTTACTCTGCAACTCATCTCTGTGCTGTACTAGTGACGAATTAGCATGTTTTGTGTTACTTGACAACCCTTACTAACTGGCTGTGTCGGGCGGTGGCGGGTTTCACGGCACCTTCGCATTTGCGCGATCTGACCCCAAAAACCCCCTTATGGGTAACCGTGGTCGCGGAATCCTCCTACTTGTTAAACTGACATCGTGACGTCACGCTCACGAATGGCATCTCAAAACGCCGTGCAATTTGTAACGTGCGCAGTCGCCACACGCAGGCGCAGGGGAAACCACAGGCAAGCGCTTGCGAAGGCAGTCGGCACCGGCGAGCGCTTGCGAAGGCAGTCGGCACCGGCGAGCGCTTGCGAAGGCAGTCGGCACCGGCGAGCGCTTGCGAAGGCAGTCGGCACCGGCGAGCGCTTGCGAAGGCAGTCGGCACCGGCGAGCGCTTGCGAAGGCAGTCGGCACCGGCGAGCGCTTGCGAAGGCAGTCGGCACCGGCGAGCGCTTGCGAAGGCAGTCGGCACCGGCGAGCGCTTGCGAAGGCAGTCGGCACCGGCGAGCGCTTGCGAAGGCAGTCGGCACCGGCGAGCGCTTGCGAAGGCAGTCGGCACCGGCGAGCGCTTGCGAAGGCAGTCGGCACCGGCGAGCGCTTGCGAAGGCAGTCACCACCGGCGAGCGCTTGCGAAGGCAGTCGGCACCGGCGCCAAAAATTTCCCAAGCTCCTCCATGGTCCAGTTTTGAGACCTTTGGCCAACTCCACCAAGCGATTGTCGTACACACGTGGGAGGACACAGGAGTGCCGAGAGATGCAAATAAGACAGGGGCGTGTGAGGGGGGCGAACACTCAATCTCTAACAGTTTTACCCAAACTGAGCGGCGGTTCTACGTTGGCATTTTCTTGTCCGAACCGAAGTGATGAGTGGTTATACACGCGTGAAGAAACCGGAGTGCCCGCATAAAACCAGCGCGTGCGAGGAGAAGAGGCAGGGTGGTGGCGGGGAGGGGGGGCGGATTAATGCCCAATTCCTCGCACAGATGGAAATGTATGAAATCAATTTCCCATGCAGCTGTGTATGCCCCTCTCTCTCTCTTCCGTGTAGCTTTCGCACGAGGCAAGATCGTGAGTGATGGGAGTTTTCGCAGCCTGTACAAAAGCCATGGCACAACACACGTGGGTTTCGGATCTCTAAAACAAATTATGCTTATTAAAATTTCTAAAAGAAAATACGGTTTTAGAAATATAATTTAAAAATGATATCATATTGCCATGTATTAGAATTTGACCGTCTGAAGTTTCATTTCAGACACCACCTCTGATCGTTTTCAGTGTTATTCGTGGAATTGTGGAATTGAACGGTATTGTGTTGATCCGTTGCTTGCATTCTGTGTAAAGCACGCACGTGTAATGCAGGTGTTTCCGTACGTTAAAAGTGTTTCTGCTCCAATCCACGATCAACACCACCTTTATTATCAGGACAGTAGCCACCACTTGCACCACCAAAACCACAATCATCAGGACAATCGCCACCACCAACAGCGGCACAACCACCATCATCACCACGACAATAATCAGGAGCACTACCACAACCATCAGGGCAGTCGCCACCACCATCATCATCAACACCATCACAACCATCAGGGCGGTCACCACCACCATCATCACCAACACCATCACAATCATCAAACCAGTCGCCACCACCATCATCACCAACACCATCACAACCATCAGGGCAGTCACCACCACCATCATCACCAACACCATCACAATCATCAAACCAGTCGCCACCACCATCATCACCAACACCATCACAACCATCAGGGCAGTCACCACCACCATCATCACCAACACCATCACAATCATCAAACCAGTCACCACCACCATCCATATTCTATCCTCAATTTCCATTGAGGATAGAGTATTCATGGACATATTTTCAGGATCACCGTAATTGTTTGTTGCTAAACGAGCTCTTTGCGAGATGTTGGCTCACCTAGTCTCGCGTGGAATGAATTTATTAAATCGGGGAAAAAAGTAAGTAAAAAGCTTTTTGTGCTTAATGCAAAAAAACCAAAACGTGACTTTCATTCTAAGTTCACGTTCACTCCCTCGCATTGTCACATCCGTCTAGGTGGCTCAGCGGTAGAGCCACCGGCTCGCAGTCACAAGGATGCGAGCTCAATCCTGGTTGGGAGCAGAGGGACGGCGGGGGGGGGGGGGGGCATTGACTTAGCCAATCATCCGTCCAGGGTTGAGAAAACGAGTACCACTTTGTTGGGATGTCAACAGCAGTTGTCCTATGTAAAACCTCGTCACCCCCCCCCCTTCCGCCATAGGAATGTGGAATTTCCAGCACTGGCTCAGGGCTGTAAAAGGGGAGATGAGCTTCGGAATCGATGCTCATGTGAGCGGGAACCTCGCTTTGACCTTTGAACTTTGCTGTAATACAGAAGTTGCAATCGTCGCTCAAGAAAATATGACCGTGTGATCGTGCATTTGATAGTTCGCTCAGAGGTGTCTTTGCCTCCTTCGTAACCCCCGAGAAGCGAGAGCATCCTTTCTTGAATTGCACTCACCTTCACGATTATTGGAATGAAAACGTTCGGTTATAGGGTTCGTGAATTGAATTCGTGCCGCCTTTCACACTACATTGCATGAGAAAAAGACCAACTTCGTGAGACGAAGTATTACGTTGGTACTGTTGTTGATGCATTTGTAAAAAAAGAAAAACAGCTGAAAATCATCTACGACATCAGGTTAGTCTGAACATCCTTATCCGTTCGACCGCACACTCAGTCCAGATATCACACTGCGTGGCTCCTATGCACGTGCAGTGTTATTTTCTGTTATTATGTATATTTATAAACGTCCGGAATTTAAGAGATTAATCTTCGAGACACTGCAATTGCCGCGGTTGTGGAACACGGACGGATTCTTAATGATGTACACCCTCATTACGTTACGTCATCGGAACACCAGGTTGGCGTTGCAAGGCGAAAAGGAATATCGTCTTCCTCTTCCTCCTCACTGGCGTAAAACGAAAAAGTATTTTTCTGTGTTGCCGAGTAATTGCTTTCCACGTGACGTTGCTCTCGCTGACAGTTTTAATTTCAGATTTTAGTTTTTTTCTTTTCACTCTTTGTGCTTGCTCATTTAGGCGCATGAGACATATTTGAATGGAGGAAATGCGTATGCGCGCGTTCGTATGCTTCTTTGCGCGTATTTTTTTCATTTTAATCTACGCGCGTGCGTCTGTTTTGGATTGTCTGTGCCCGAGTGTAGTCACTTTGTGTGTGTGTGTGTATAATTATGGCCCCTAATTCGTGTCCATGTGTGCACAGACTACAGAGTGCGTATGAAATGTGCAGCACATTAATTTTAGATTTTTCTTTCTCTCTCACCATCCGACTCCAAAATAGTGTTAATTTCACAATACAATCCTGCTTAAATATGAGCACTCGTTCCATGTGGAGTGGGTAGTTGTTGGTTATATTTGTACGTAGGGCTTTCACAACCAATGTTACGCTTCATAATTAGTTTAAATTTTGGGTCAGATTTCGTAGGTATAACGTAAAAAAAACATGTTTTTCTGAAAAAAACAAATCAATTCGCTCATTTGCCCATGACGTGACAACCCAATTTGATACTCTGTTGTTTAGTGGATGGTTAGAGTCAAACATATTGACATTATACCCACACGATATAACCCAAAAGAGACCAAATATGAACGAAGATCATTGGGTTTGGGGACTGCTTAAGGTTGGTACCAATTCGCTTCCAGTAATTCTTGCAAATCGCCCGATGAAGCTGGTTGTATCCACCAGCGAAACGTCTTTCATTGTTTGTTGTCCTTCCCCCGCACCTCCAGTTAGCACGGTTGGCTACGTACGGTACGAGCGAAGTTCAACATACATACTTGAATGTTGTGGGTTTACTACCCGTCACACCAATGTGCTGAATTAGCAGCTAATTAGCACATTTTGTTCACGTGACAAACCTTACTAATTGGCTGTGTTGGGTTGTGGTGGGTTAACGACACATTTATATTTACGCGGTCTAACCCGACAACCTTGATTATGAATGGGACTAATATTGTTTAAATTGACGTAGTGGTCACCGTATCGATAGAGAGTTGAACAGTGGAAAAAATCCTGGAGCAGTGACACGGTGATTCACCCGCTGTGTTTTGAAAATAGCGATGGAGCGGCCTCAGTCCAAGGAGAGATGGAACCATGAAATCAACTCAAGTGCAGGTGCTAGGTAGATTATTGGCGCCATGGTGGCGAGATGTTAACTTCCTCGCCTGGTATACAGGAGGTCGTGGGTTCAATGCCGACCCAGACGCCTGCTGTATATTTGGAGTTTGCACGTTTTCCCTGTGGTCGCGTGGATTTTTCTCCAGGTCCTCCGGGATTTCCCTCCACATTTAGAAACATGCGTTTCGAGTAGTTGGCTGCTATATATGTCCACGTGATAAGCCACTAAGTTGAGCCATCATTTGTAGCCAGGTAGCTCAGTGGGCCTTACCCGCTAAATAAAAAAAAAACCTGTTTAGTTTAAATAGTTTAGCTTATCTTCTTGGTTCTTTCGGTAAAGTCACGTAGACCTGGTCTTCACCTGAGGACGGCTGCTTGCGTTGTGACTGAAACGTCGTGAGAATTATTTTATTATGTTTTATTTGTATTATTTTATTATTTCCCTTCTACGTGACTTTACCGAAAGAACCAAGAAGATGAATCCCTGCAGTCACGAAAGCTTTAAATTGTAGTTTAGCTTAATTATTTTATCCTGGGGATCTTGATAGATGCTGTGTTGACGGCTTGGGGAGACCTTCATCCAGCAGTGGATTGATGATGACTGTAGATGATGATGATGATATGAACTGACAAAACCAACGTAGATTCCTGGCTACGGTTAACATCGGTGGCGAGCAATATCTGGCTCCCCCCCCACCTGACCCTTCACCAACCCCCATGATCGACGTGACATGGGGGAGGGCCTTCAACGAGCAATGGATAAAAAAAAATAAGTATAACCCGTAAAAACAAAGTTTTTCACTCTAAATCCTTTATATGCGTGGCGGCTAGAGTCCTCTCGTCCTCTGGCTTGAGATGGCTGCCACCTATGGGTCAGATGATTGTCTGCCAGTATTAAGCAATTGCTAATTAAATATTTAATTTGTTTTCCCTAAACAGTGTAAAATTTTGGAAAAAAATTTTCACGAACATTAATTGTCTCGCACAACGAATCTGTGTGCAAAATGTCAGCTCTATTGGATCACGGGAAGTGGGTTAAAAAACGACCGAAAGATTTGCACGGTCGTAAGCAAGCAAGCAAGAAAGCGAACTTAATATAAAGGATTTAAAAAGGTTCCGTAAATTATTTTATAATGATTATGAGCAGCATATTATTGGTATGGCTGCTTAGGCCAGTGGTTCGTGTACTTGCCACTGAACCAATTTGTGACGGTTCAATGCTTCAAACCTCGCTCACTTTTCACCAAATAGCGCCTCGAGGCATCATCAGGGGGCTCTGTGAAGTCCCTGTAATTCACAGTGGTCGTAGAAGCAGTACCCAACGCGAATTGATTTCATGACCCCAAACGAAAAATTTGAGAATTACCCACTGCCGAATTACGAAGAGAACTAATGACAAGCCCTTATTCGCAACGGCCTCACTGCAGCAAGGCGATAATTGTCACCCGGATGATTGTACGATAAGTGGACATTGAAGGGGATATGTGAAATTTAATGGTGATGTGTTGCGCTTAATTTGCTGCCGTCAAAGTGCGCGTGTTCTTCTGCGTGTGCGGTGCTGGCCACCCCAGCCCCTCGTGTGCCGTGCCGGCCTTCATCGGTGCTGCGACTCGCTAACAGCACTTGCCCCAACAATCTGTTATAGGCCATACGGGGGATCTTTGTCTTTGTGTGAAACGGTGGCATAGCGACCCGTGCACTCCACTGCACCGGTGACCTCTGAGTTTGATTTCTTGTCACGGCTAACACCAGTGGTGAATTCTAGATTTGAAGCTTTCGTGACTGCAAGGATTCATATTCTTTGGTTTTTTCGGTAAAGTCACGTAGGTAAAAAATTAAAATTAATAAAAGTAAAATAAAAATGAATATTTTTATTTAACTTTTATCAATATAAAAATTAATAATTAATTTAACAAAATTTCAATTAATAAAAGTAAAATAAAAATACATATTTTTATTTTACTTTTAGAAATTTTAATTTTTTACCTACGTGACTTTACCGAAATAAACCTAGAATATCAGTGGTGAATATCTGAACCGGTGCCGGGTCTCCTCTAGGTCAATTCAGCTTTAAATCTGTACCTGTTACGGTCTCTAAATATCAGCGCTGGGGAGACAAAAGTTGCTTTGCTTTGTGCTGGTCAAACCACTGCTGCCATGGGCCTCAACTCGGTCAATTCGAGCTCGTTTGTTGTGTGGGCATTAACACGAGAGAGACGCAGCTGCCAGCCATGCCACATGCTTGTGTGCCGTGCTGGTCTTGATATGCGCTCACAGCACTTTCGATTCGTACGGTTGGCTACGTACGGTGCGAAAGAAGTTCAACACACATACGTGCAACAACTCTTGCTCCAGACGTCCGTACGGCTACACGGAACATTGTGGTATGATGAAGAAAGGTCATTACTTGAAACGTGACCTGTGACATATTTTTATTCTAAGGCAGTGTGATTGTCGAACATATTGGCTATGTGGTGCATCTTTGTCTTTGTGGGGAGCAGTTGTGCATTGGCTTGACATCTCTGGCACGTGTTGGCATAAGAACTCGCAATGGGATTCTCTCAAGTTGACTCAACATCAGCACTGATGTGTGGCACTATGTTGTATGTTGTTGAACTTCTCTATGCACAATACATAGCCGATTGTGCTAATCGGAGGAGCGGGTGTAGGTCCAAGGAACTTAGCTCTATGCCTTCCTGGGCCCAATGAGCATTTCAATAAAAGTCTTGTAAATATATTCCACGTGACTATGGAAAAATTGATGGGCAAATCAATCGCCGAACTGTGTGTGTGTATCTTTCGATTTAAAGCTTCTTTCGTGACTGCAATGATTTATCTGCATGGTTCTTTCGGTAAAGTCACGTAGAAGGGAAATACTGAAATAAGAAAAATAAAACATAAGAAAATAAGATTTTATTTATTATTTTAGTATTATTTTATTAATAAAATACTATTCAATTATGTTTTATTTGTATTCTTTTATTATTTCCCTTCTACGTGACTTTACTGAAAGAACCAAGAAAATGTGTGTGTATGTGTAGCAGTGGTTCTCACGCTGCACTACGAACCTCACCAACGTGAGTTTGATTCCAGGTGAAGAATAACAACGACACGTGGTACCACAACTTATCCTCCGCTTTCTCCTAGATGTGTTATCAAAACAAGATAGAGGCGCAGCCCTGCAATTGCTAGCTCATGCAACTGCGGGCAGAAGGGCCTCTGACTAGAGTGCGCTCCAGAGAGGCCCTTTAGACAACTGATCCTTGAGTTGTGTTTTCTGCAATCAGAATCTGTATTCATACTGGCGGAATCCGATGCGCTATGAAGCTCTTTGTCACACATGTCCAGTAGACATTAGCACGGGAAAGACCAAGGCCGTGGGGCGTCCTGTTAGTCACAACACCTTCCTGTTCGCCACGCTCACCTGAATTGGTGCTCATTAAAAGCACTTGTCCGAGCAGTCCGCAAAGCTAAATGAAGGATATGTTTCTGTGTGTGTCTGTGTGTGTCTGTGTGTGTGTGTCTGTGTGTGTGTGTTTCTGTGTGTGTCTGTGTTTTTCTGTGTGTGTCTGTGTGTGTCTGTGTGTGTGTGTTTCTGTGTGTCTGTGTGTGTCTATTGTGTGTCTGTGTGTGTCTCTGTGTGTGTCTCTGTGTGTGTGTCTCTGTGTGTGTGTGTTTGTATGTGTGTGTCTCTGTGTGTGTTTCTGTGAGTCTGTGTGTGTTTTCTGTGTGTGTCTGTGTGTCTGTGTCTATTGTGTGTCTGTGTGTGTCTGTGTGTGTGTGGATATTTTCGCAGGCTATGGCAATGGGAATGATGACGGAGTATTACCACTACATATTCACCACCCTGGTAAGTGCATCGCACGGTTCATCCTTGTCAATTGGCTGCCACCCACCGTTTGTCATCTGACTTTGCCTCCAACTCCATGGGGAATTGAATTCCACTTGGTGAAGTGAGATAATATTAAACATAAAAATACACAACACCAACGGCACGTGTCGCTATGTTTATGATGTTTAAGAGGGGATCTCTGTGTGTGTGTACACACGTGTGTGTGTGTAGGTGTGTGTGTGTGTAATGGGGAGCGGTAGTGTAGCGGTTAGCGCGCTGCGCTATGAACCCGGCAACCCGAGTTCGATTCCCGTTCACAGTGAACACCGGTGACGATTATCTGAACCGGTCCTAGGCCTCCTCTAGGTCCACTCAGCCTCAAATGAGTACCTGGTGCGATGTGTAAACATCGCCGCTAGGGAGACAAAGGCGGTCGGGCGTGGTGCTGGCCACCCACCCCCTCGTGTGCCGTTCCGGCCTTCATAGCTGCTCGCTAACAGCACTTGCCCCTACAGTCTGGTAAGGCTACACGGGGGATCTTTTTGGGGAACGGTAGTGTAGCGGTTAGCACGCTGGTCTATGAACCCAGCGACCCGAGTTCGATTCCCGCTCATGGTGAACACCAGTGACGATTATCTGAACCGGTCCTGCCGGCCTTCATAGCTGCTCGCTAACAGCACTTGCCCCGACGGTCTGCTAAAGGCTCTACGGGGGACCTTTATCTTTGCACAGGACCTGTTTGCCCTGCATCTCGACAACTACCGCTACAGCGGAGTCAACATGACGGGCTTCCGCCTCATGAGCCTTGACGACTCCCGTGTCTCCTCCGTCATGGAGCGCTGGACCATGGAGCGCCTCGCTCCCACGCGGCCCGAGTCCGGCCTCGTGCACGGGGTCATGACGGTAGCCGCTCGCTCGACTCCCACTCCTCGCTCGACTCCGTCTCCCTCTTCCCTTCCATCCCAGTCTCACTCCTTAATCCCATCCCAGTCTCACTCCTCATTGTCATCACGGTCTCACTCCTCACTCCCACCCCAGTCTCACTTCTCACTCCCATCTCAGTCTCCCTCTTTCCTTCCATCCCAGTCTCACTCCTCACTCTCATCCCAGTCTCACTCCTCACTCCCATGTCAGTCTCACTCCTCACTCTCATCCCAGTCTCACTCCTCACTCTCATCCCAGTCTCACTCCTTAATCCCATCCCAGTCTCACTCCTCATTGTCATCACGGTCTCACTCCTCACTCCCACCCCAGTCTCACTTCTCACTCCCATCTCAGTCTCCCTCTTTCCTTCCATCCCAGTCTCACTCCTCACTCTCATCCCAGTCTCACTCCTCACTCCCATCTCAGTTTCACTCCTCACTCCCATCTCAGTCTCACTCCTCTCCTCACCCACATCTCGATCAGGAGATCGTGTGTGGTGGGGTCAAGCGTGGGTGCTCCTTTCCAAGAAGTCTGGCCAGGGTACAAGAGCAGAGCCCTCTTAATTTGGAGGCCTTTCTGTCGGCATTGGCGTTGAGCAAAGGGCTCCACCGTCACCTTCACGTTTTTTTTGTTTGCACACACATGTGAGTTTTGTAAGGTACATCATTCACGAGGTAAAAAAAAAAGAATGGTTGCGTGTCGCAAGATTCCATTTCTGCGAACTGCGCGCGCACGTGCGCGTGCACGTGCGCGTGCACGTGCGCGTGCATACCCTCACGCGGTTTACCTCTCCGGAGGGAGCATCGCCCTCCCCGCCTTGTAATTGCTTCGACGTCGGGCACAATTGAGCGATGCAATATCAAAATAAAGTTCATCGGAACTGCTCACGCCGGCAGCTGCACGCGCGCCAGGCGCTCCGCGGGGCTGGAACTTGAACCCTCGCTGCCCACCGGCCTCCGCGCTGGTCGGGCCTTCCTTTACGACGCCGGTCCAACCTCTGACCCCCACCACCACCGCCACCCCCTTCCCATCCGCAGACCGACGCTGCCCTCATGTACGACGCGGTGCACGTGGTCTCGCTGGCCTCCCAGCGCTCCACGCAGATGACCGTCAGCTCCCTGCAGTGTCACCGACACAAGCCTTGGAGGTTCGGCGCTCGCTACATGCAGGCCATCAAGGAGGTGAGCGCGCGCGCGTGGCTGCTGCTGCTGCTGCTGCTGCTGATGATGCTGCATGCAGGCCTTTTGAAAGGTGAGAGGGTGCGTATGGGGCGGGCCGAATGCGTGAATAACACGAGGGCCTCTAAATTTTAACAACGTTAGGAATGAAAACTATTTAGCCGCTGTTACGATGAACGGTGGCTGAGTAGTTTTGAGAGCTCGCGTTCAAGGACGATGCAGAATGAACGTTCTACGACCCCACCTGACTGTCGTATTTTCAAGTCTCCTTTTCCATTGTGAAGGCTTTCAATGTGACAATACAGCTCAAGGAGCTATCTGCAAGAGCTGTGTTTGACTTCTTGCATCTTCGTTTGTCGATGTGCAGACGTTCGCACTTTAGTCCGTTGTCAAGATAGCCACACCGAACGTGGTTCCATCGTTTGCTCTGAATGTACGTTGGTAAAAAGCGCGCTGAATGGACAGGCTTGCCCAGGTCGTGATGTTAACACGGCACCTTTAAATATAAAGCCGTGTGGTGATGGTGGGTGGGTGGTGCAGCTGCACTTGGCATGTAATCCAGCACTGTGGAGGTGACGGTTAGTGGATCACAAAAGAATTGTGAAAATCCTTGCCGTGGGCATTGAGGAAGTGCTTTGCCCTGGCCTGCCAGGGTAAGGCGGCACAGCAAATGCGCATCACACCTGTTTCTGTTACACCTGAATGAGTTTTGCGCTCCTCCGTACACACAGGCTGTCTGCGCACTGTCCGCTTTCCTCACACACATAAACATTAGAAGTTCAACATACACACATACGTACAATTGCCCGATCAACATCTTCATATATAGAGGACTGCAGAGCTTGGGGGGTGGGTGGGTGGGGTTTTGGCACTAGCTCATCACGTGACTGCTGCTGCTGCCGCCTTCCCACTCGCGTTGTGGTTCAAGTCTCCGAGTCGTTCTGTCCTCCAGAGTGAGTGAATACTTTGCAGCGTGTAACAAGATAATTGGTTTTTTACCCTTCTATCTGGCAACAAAACTGACACCTTTTTTTTTACAAGGAGTAATGTTTGCATAGACCACAATACCTGCAGTCATAATGCAAACATGTGCACTGTCCTTGAAGTTGATTGGTCCACACCCGAGACAGCTTTCCTTAGAGCCTAGTCTCACATGGTGTTGGACCAGATGACGCCAAAAGGCGCACGACTCAAAGACAATGCACCATCAGAGTATGAGAGCTCGGGGTAAGTATTTACACCATTGGAACCTCATTTGCCAGTAAAACAAGTTTAAATAATAATATAATTATTATTACACACAAAAGTTGTGTAATCTGCATGCAAGTATTATACACGCGCACATTCGCGTGCAAATGGTAATGTTTATTATTGGTCATAGGAGAGGTTTTTTTTCGCGACCAATATTATGGAAAGCCTTCGTGTTGAACTATATAATTCGTACATACAATGTGTGGATAGATATTTTACCTATTTCAAAAGTGTCCACGTGAAGAAATTAGAGTGAGCAGCGTCCATCTCCGCTGGCTCTCGGGCATCAGTTGGTGGAAATTCCACATTCCTATGGCGGGGCCACGAGCGTAGCGGACAGCCGTTTGGGTGAAACCGCGTCCCCGTTTGCTCCGAATGCCACGCATTACGCGGCCCGCAATTTGAGCACCTAAACGTTTATCGCGCAATCGCTTACGGTGCCACTCTCGCGTAATGAAGTTTCCAACACTAAATAGCCTCCCGGGGTAAATTCAATTTATGAGACGAATGTCGCAACGAAGGAGGCTGTCACGGACAAAGTGGGCTGCGGCTGGCGGGTGAGGAGCGGAGCGTGGCGGCGAGGTTCGTGGCGTTAGAAATAACGGTGTCGTTGTCGTCGTTGTCGTTGTTGTTGTTTTTGTGCGCGGAGCAAGCCGGGGCTACGTGGGTCATTCGATAAGGGAGAGGCTATGGACGTGCGCACGTGTCGCGTCTCTCTAACTCGGGGCGGTTATTTTGATTTGCCCATCTAAGTCATGTTCAATTTCGCACATGCGGCTACTTGCGTGTGGAAAAGAAAAATAGATAACTTTTAGGGCTAAGAAACAGCATTAGGGACAAGATCAATGGGCTCGCATAATGCGCATGCATAATGTACGTTGACTCATTAAACCCCTCCCCCCCCCCCCACTTTGCGCAAGAGCGCAGAAGCGTCGTCAACACATCTACGCCTCTATATAAGGAACGAAACAGGTGGACTTCTCCACAAATGTGGCTGTCGTCTGATGAAGCTAGTTGTAATTACTGGCGAAACGTCGTACTCAGATTGTAAATCTTGTGGCTTGGCTCTCCAACACACCGGTGTTGCTGTACTAGTGACGAATTGGCACCTTATGTTTATGTGACAACCCTTACTAGTTGGCTGTGTCGGGTGGTGGCGGGTTTAACGACACATTTATATATTTACGCGATCTAACTCAAACAAAACTCTATTATAAACAGCACTAACTTTCTATTTTTTAAAACATAATCACGTGCCCCCCCCCCCCCCTCCACCGCCGCCTCGGCCCAGGGCTTGAACCCAGGTCCTTGGAGGTGTGGGGTTGCCGGGTGGTGCGTCAACACACGCGGTGCTTTTGCCCCTCCGAGCAAGGCAGCCCTCATTAGAGCACCATTTATTTTTAATGAGCGTTGCACGGGCGCTCTGCCATGTCAGGGAGAAGGGATCTGCCATCTCCGATGGGAGTGTCATTAAGCAAGGTGCTCCTCTGATAGAGCCCCACTGGGCTAAAGGCATTCCCTGGGGGGAGGGGGGGGGGCAGTGGATTCAGATTGCCTTCCTTGATGTCTCCGAAGCCTTTGGAGATGTGAGCGCCACTTTTCCCTTTCCCACCATGCTGGGGAATTAAAAACAAGTCTCCGCTGCTGTCTTGTGACAACTGCCGCCGGTGATGGCGGTTATGACGACGATGATGATCGAAGATGGTGATGTGCATCTCTGCCAGGCCATGGATTTGACCCTTGGGTGGCTGGGATTGTAGCGTGATGCGCAAAAGATGCTGCCGTATTGATCGGCACGCACAGTGGCGCAGATGAAGGCAAAGTTCACTGGGTTTGATTTAGCCTTGTGTACACTCGCACAGACGCACGCAAATACGGTGCAACGGTCAGCAAATTGGACTTGCCATCCAGTGGTCAACGGTTCAATTCCACCTCCCGGCACAGCAGCTGAAACAACAGGGGCGTGTTTCTCGAATCCCGCCCTACTGCCTCTATCATCCTAACAGTGTAATAAATGGGTACCGCCACAGCCAGTCAATCGGCAGGCCTCATGTAGTGGGGTAAAGTGTAGGTAGTGTCATCTCTCCCAAAAAGTCTGGCCAGCATGAAGAGCAGGCCAAATAACCCTCTGTGAGGGCCCAGGACCGATTCAAATATTCGCCACTGTTATTGGTCGTGAGTGGGAGTCAAACGCTAACAACTTTTCTCGGACTCCCAGAACGCATATACACACACACCACACATGTAGACACATTACATGCATATACTATAAAGGCATACATTCACGTACACAATAATTCAAGGAAACGTATAAATTCTTGTCTTTTATAACTGTTAACAGTGATATTAACAGTGATGTTGGCTGCTTGGTGGCTTGGGCCTTTGGGCATGCACTCAGCACCCATGGGTAAATAAGAATACTACGAGAAACACAACCAAAGGCAGACACACACACACATATCGCCTGAATTAAATTATTCAGAGGAAGAGCCACTCGCTGCCGCTGTTTGATGTTACCCTGCCCCGAGTAGGGGAACATCCACTCGGGTTGACACCCATCCGGTTTGTCCTTGATAGGATTTGACCCGGCCACTCCGGCAATTGGCGTCACCCTTTGGGTGGCAGGGAATTGATTTGTACTGAGATGTTGTGGTATTGAGTGGAACTTTATTACAGTGGACTACACAGGGTTGATAGACCGAGGTTGACTGAGAAATATGTCCTCTGCCTCTGGATAATGTGGCAACTTCAATGACCCACCCAACAGTCTGGCAATTGGTTTCTATGTTTGGGTGACAGGAATTGACGTTTACAGAGTGGCAAAAACTCACTCACTACCACCCACTCAATTGCACCTCCGATTAGCACGGTTGGCAACGTACGATACGAAAGAAGTTCAACATACATACACCCACCCACTCAGAAACTTTGCTGTCCACCGCTCGTGAAAAAACAGGAGCCAGAATCGGTTTACGGGACGTTCTGTATTCCACAGGAGGTCCCAAGTGCAACTGGCCCATCTCCTGACAGAGGAATGCCATGCCTTTGCTCCACGGCAATGGTTCGGAAACTCTATGTCGCCAGCTGCAGTAATTTACCCGTTGCTTCTGAAGGCTCCCTAAGGGCCGGCGGCGGGGGAAGTGGTAATAATTTCAGTCTCCTGGCTCCACCAAATGAGGGTTAGCCAGGGGATATCATGACCCATCGGAGCCTTCAGCACATGCTTATTTAGATTCATTTCCGCGGTACCTTGATAAGTATGGTTGAGCGATTTAATGTGGAGGCTTTATCAGCTGATCACTGCTGTGGATGTGAACACGCCATGAGGCTAATCAGCCCACCCACCATCAGCCTATTCCCCAGTGGCACTGTTTACAAGACAATTGGAACCATGAGGATGAGTGGGAGGAGGTGGGGGTATTTTTTTCGCTTGTTAACCCCCATACACACACCCACAGTGGCGTAATGTGGTTGGCATGGGCCCCTGATGCAAGGCATCAAATGGGACCGCCTTTGTCCAATTCCCCCACCCACCCAACCCCCACACTGTTCCCAGCCCAGTTCCTGGGACCCCTCTTGGCCCATGGGGCTCAATGCAGTTGGCACCGCCTACTCACGCACATTTATACAAGTCGAAGATTTCCCCGCGTAGACTTAATGGACTTTTGGGGAAAGCGCTGTTAGCGACCACCTATGAAGGCCGGCACGGCACTCGAGGGGGTGGGTGACCACAGCACCATGCCTGGCCGCCTTTGTCTCCCCAGTGGCGATGTTCTTACACACACCCCCCCCAATGTACTCGTTTGAGGCTGAGTCGACCTAGGAGAGGATCAGGACCGTTTCAGATAGTTGTCACTGGTTTTGGCCGCGTGCTGGAATTGATCTCGGGTCGCCGGGTTTCGTAGCGCACTAACCTCTACACTACCGCTCCCCACATCAATGCCACCACATGAAGTCATACATAGATGTATACAGAGATAATACAGCAATACAAACACACGTGCACACGCATACATGCATACATACGCATTCACACACATGCATACATATTCATACAAAGTCATACATGCACTAGTATTGCCACTTATAAGATATAAAAGTTCCAGACTTGTCACGTCAAGAATAATATCTCACAATATCGGAAGAGAGGGTAATGACATGCAACTGACAACAGCAACAACAAAAACTGGGAGGTTTAATATTCTGGGAAGACTTACGGATTTTACAGTCTGGCTGCCTCAAATATATGATGATCCCGGGAAAACCAGGGCAGGTGGCAACCCGAACATGCACACACACACACACACAATACACACACAATACGCAACACATAATACACACACACAGCACACACACACAACACACACACAATACACAACACACACAGCACACAACACACACACACAATACACACACACAGTACGCAACACACACACAACACACACACAATACACACACACAACACACACACAATACACACACACAGAGACACACACAATACACACACGCAACACACACATAATACACACACACAACACACACAATACACACACACAGTACGCAACACACACACAACACACACACAATACACACACACACAACACACACTCAGTACGCAACACACACACAATATGCAACACACAATACACAACACACACACAGCACACACAATACACAACACACACAACACACACAACACACACAATACGCAACACACACACACAATACACATAATACGTAACGCACACACACACACAATACGTAATGCACACACACACACAATACGTAACGCATACACACACAATACACACACAATACACACACACAATACGCAACACACACACACAACACACACACACAACACACATACAACACACACACACCACACATACAACACACACCCAACACACACACAATACACACACAACACACACACAATACCCTACACACACACAATACGAGACCAGTGCTCAATGTACCCCTCCCCTCTGCTGTCCTCCCGTGCCACAGGCTCAGTGGGATGGCATCACCGGCCGGATTGCATTCAACCAGAGCAACGGACTGCGCACAGACTTCGACCTGGACGTGATCAGCCTGAAGGAGGAAGGGCTGGAGAAGGTTGTTCAAACTCAGAGTCGTTCGTACGAACCCGTGACACGCAGGCTGCGCAGAGAGAGAGTCCCCGGCTGATAGGACGCTGCGTTTACAGGGGCGGTTGGTTGCGAAAGTTCGTCTGACGTCGCATATTCCTCCCACAATCGCATTCATTTAATCGTTTCGTGGGTTTTCTTCTTTGTCCAAGTTCTCTCACGGCGAAGGTCCACATGTGTTGTGAGTGTTCAGCGTGAGACTTATTCAAAAAAGCTCTTTGCAACTTTAGTCTGGTGCTGCCCTCTGAGTGAAACCAAGCAACCGTTGGTCTGCACATTTGGAGGACAACATTCTACTTGTATATAAAAATGTGTTTTTTTGTAATGTGTCTAGTTATCATGCAGCTGTCACGTTTCCGACCGTCACAAATCCACCCGGGAATAATTGACCACCCACACCCGGTGAGGTTTGTTGTTGTTGAATGATGGTGTTATACCGTCGTTTTGTTCAATGTCACGTGCATTCTTTTTTTTACCATCAGTGGAAACAAGAAGATGCTCGGTGTAGTCGGCACTTTGCTTCGTTCATCATTTCGTATTTAAACAAAAATATAACTTTGCTTTATGTAAACACCCACCTCTCGCTCACTCTCTCGCTCGCTCTCTCGCTCGCTCACTTTCTCACTCACTCTCTCGGTCACTCTCTCGCTCACTCTCTCGCTCACTCGCTCACTCTCTCGCTCACTCTCTCGCTCTCTCTCGTTCTGCACGCAGCCCTTCTCGCAGTCCAACGGCCTCCGACGGGTAGCTCGTAACTGCATGCAGAGCCCACGTGCATTCACCCCCGCCATCTAAAGCACCGTCACGCCATGCTCCCTTTTTAAACCACACTGCATGCGATTGTTGTCCAGTAGCACATGCATTGACCTTCACTTTCTATTAGATGTTCACAAATCTGACCCTGTATTCACATGGCCACCTTTAACTCGCTCGCCAGTGAGTTGGATATGCGACGTTGGGCTGCATTTTCGGCCGCAGTGTGGTTAAAGTCATCCGTGCTCGTTGTGTTTATTGTTAATAGCTGTGATGGCGTCATTGTGATTATGGCGTTGTTGGGAATGTTGTAGTGATTGTCGTTCATCTTTGTTGTATTCGTGATCATGGATTTTATTGTCTTCGTTTTTATTTTTATTTGCCATCTTCCATTCCGTAAAATCACAACCTAAATGTGAAATGTATTCGAGTATCAGCATCTACTTTCCTGAATTTAACAGTTCACTTTTTAAATGTCAGCGAAATACGTTTAAGCAGCTCCAAATGGCATATCAATACTTAATTCAGACAGCATTTAGCCGAACCTAATTATAAAACTTTGGCAATACATGCGTGTAAAAATCTCACCCATTGGCATCCTCACATCAATATTCATGTTACATTTTTTCTGTGACCCATGTCCTTTATGTACCAGGTTGGAGAAAGTAAAACAACGAAAACTAAATTGTACTCGGCTCTCAGTAGTACCTGTGACACAGGTGTGCCCTATATCTAATTTTCCTCAATGACTTGGTGGTCCATCGGTAAAGGATGGAGCGGTTCAGTATATTTTGTAACCATAAGACAAACTGTTGTGTTTTGTGTTGCTGCTAAATTGCCCTTTGCACCGTGTGGTTAAAGCAGACATAGAGAGACTTCGCCGTGGGTGTTATCATTGTCACCGCATCTGCGCGCTTTCAGATGCGCTTCTGCGGCCGTCTGGAACGTTCTTCCTTCCGACACTCGGAAGCCACTTGCGTTTTGCACTTTTAAATGTAGATTGAAAGCTCATTTCTGTAGAACTGCTTCTGTGCTTAGTTCGTTGTCCTTCCCCTGTACCTCCCATTTGCACGGCTGGCTACATACGGTGCACAATAATTTCAACGTACGTACGTACGTACACACTGGACTTCCAATCCAGGGTTCACCGCTTCGATGGGCAATATTATTAACACCCCATCGCTTCTGTCCGCACAGCTGGGTGTATGGATAGACTGCAATTAGTCGATCGCCTGATCGCGCGTGGTGGATTCTCCGGCCGTTGCGGGGGGGGGAGGTCGAAGGTCACAAATGCCCTCTAGAAGAGCTCTCGAGAGCTTCCTCTGGTGGACACTTTTCCTCCGCCAGGATTGCGGCACGAGCAAGACATTGCAGGTCTGCACCGTCACCACCTTTATCTTGTATTCAATAATGTGGAAAATCAGTGTGTAAGTAGCCACGCCATTTACCACGGCACATTGTATTGTGTCCGTAAATTGTTAAAGTGTTCATTTCGTTAAAAAAAAAACGTATACGTGAAGGGAAAAGTGGAAAATGTTTTAACCGTGATTTTGTTTTATTTGAATTCAATGATCGTAGCAGTATTTGGTAAAGAGAGTTTGGCTGACTTCAAATGCTGGCCAAGTGTTTTCCTTTGTTTAAGGAAAGTATTGCCAGATTTATAAAAAAAAATTGCTGTTTGGCACCGTACATCACTGAAATAAGGTGACCACGTGGTTATTTATTTAATTTAATTTATTTTTAGTACAATTAAGTATTTGGTGGGAAGATAAATTGCCTGTCATGGTTGTCGGCCCGTCACGCTGAGTCCAAGGAATGGTTAAAGATTAATGACACCCACTCACGTGACGCGCATCAACTTGGGAATAACCATTTCACACAAAAAAGTACAACTTTCATTCATTTGCCTTTTACAACACTTGGAGCGAAACTTTAATAACCCTTCACCACATTTTAACCGCCCGCACTTAACAAAAAAACACCCGCGCCATAATTGCTCGCTTGAATAATTTAGAGGGCTCGCGATGGAGGGAACGATGGAGGTGGTAATCTGATTGAATAAAACAAAACACCGCCTAGGCAGTTCAGCAAAATGAGACTTAGCCATGTGAATTCATCAGAAATAAAAGTGGGCTCAGTGCCCGCGAGGAATCGATAATCGTCGAGAATAAGCCACTTTAAGTGTCGCTGACATAACATGAGGTTTTTAAAAAAAAATGTTGAAGCCCTTTCATTACGGGGTAATGGTATGGTGGTGCTAGATGATGTATGAAGTATGTGGTTTTAACAAGAGACAATGATTTAGAATTGGTCTTCATGAAATCTAAATACCTCACTCTCAGACCGTTAATGCGGCGGTCGGTATCCTTCAAAAACCCCATTTAGTTAGATGCAGTGGTGATTATATTATTTTATTTCAAATAGACGTTTGGCATGATCTCAAATTTTACAGAGATACTTTTCTTAGCCATGCTTCAAGAGGAACGTTTTAGCTCAGTGGGCTCTTCTCAGGAAATACACTTATGATAAACTTCTGATATATATAGCTCCACGATTCATAATTTTGCTACAGCAGTGAAGCTGTCGGTAACTGTATGCAATTCTTTATGTCCTGGCCAGGCAGTTGTAAATCCTTAAAACTGACCCACATAATAATAATAATAACTCACCAGATTCGTAAATAACACATCGCCGATATACTGATATAGATGCACATTTAAAGGCCACACACTGTTACCAACAGCAGCATCGCCAAATATTCAACTTTATAATAATAATAAGAGCATTATGTGTTTGCCGTGGAGGTTTTCACGGCCGTGCTGTGTCGCTCCGCTCATATGCTCGCGGCTGATGCAGCGTGTTGTTTGGCACAAGGTCCAACGTTTATCTCCTCCCGAAGGAGCCCCTGGCATGTGGGGCGAAACGTTGTACGTCGCTCTGAAAGGCACGTGACACGACACATCGGAGGGCATTAAGGGCAATTAAGATAATATGTATTTATCCAGACGAGTTGAACTCCGTCTCAAATGTATTTTTTCTTCAGGAGGGACCCTGAATTTGGATGTTTAGCCGATTCCGTTGACGAGTGTTTTGCCAGTAGGAAACGATGCTTAATGGTTTGCAAAGATGGGGTCAGGAACCCATTCGTTGTGCTGCTATCATCTTGCCGTATTGCAGCTCAGTCGGCTTCGACTCATCTGCGTAACCCATCAACCCGTTTCCTCCAAAGCGCTGGGATCACAGATGCAGTCCAGGAACTTTAAGCTCTGAACCTTAAACCTAACACCTCCAAGAAATAAAATACTTAATGTGCTTCATTTTTTAGTTCATTGCTACCCCAGAAAACCCGAGCAATGACTGCAACTGCTGGAATCGAATCTAAGGAAGGACGCTAATACAGTCGAGTGCAATTAATTACTAACTATTCTAAGGGGTGTGAACTGTGGATTCACAGTTCTGTACTTAACTAGACAAGTAATTAGACGCCGTTACGTATTCGATGACAACTGGTAGGATGAAATGTTACCCAATTAGCCACCTCCAGCACAAATTGCCACGCTCTGGATATATATTTTTATACAAAATTAACGAAATATGATTTGGGTCTTTCGGTAAAGTCACGTAGATAGAAAAAATAATAACAATACAAATTTAATGAAAATTTAAATTAAGTGAATGAAAAATAAAAAAAAATCACAACGTTTCGATAACAACACAAGCAATCGTCATCAGGAGATTGCTTGTGTTGCGATCGAAATGTCGTGATATTTTTTCCCATTCACTTTTCATTTATTTTATTTTATTATTATTCTTTCTATCAACGTGACTTTACCGAAATACCCAAAGAATACGAATTCCAGCAGTCACGAAAGCTTTAAGTCAAGATTTAAATGTCATGAAGGTTTGACGATTTTTCACGAAATCTTCAGCGCAAACGCGTGCGGCGCCAACGCTTTGGCAGATTGCGTCGCCTCGATGAGCGTTGCTCGCGAACCAACCAATCGGCACCCTCGTGCCGAGTCGTCTAGAAAAGGAAACGTCGGAAAAGCTATTTTCGGCTCAGATGAGGACTGCAGTTGGTGCCCCTCTCCCATCGACAGCCCTGAGCCAACGAAGGGAATTCCACGTTCACGTAACGGGGGGGCGGGGTGGGATGGTGGGGTGAAGCGTGCGTTTCAAGCATCTGGCTGCTGTGAATTACCACGTGATGACGATGAGTCACTTCGTTGAGCTATCATTTGTGGTGGTCAGATCGCTGTGTGGCTCAGTGAGGCCTCGCCTAGTGAAATAAAAAATTGTTTAAGTATACTAAGGAGAGCCGCTGTTGACTTCCCCAAAAAGTGGTAATCATTTTATCGACCTGGGAGGAGCGATGGCCTAAATCAACACCCAACCATTAGTTGAACTGACAGCCTTTTGATTGCGAGCCATTTTCTGTACCGCTGAGCCATCTGGCTCCAGATATTTTCTTTCACTTTAAGGAGCGTCTCACCAAATGCTGTTTATAAAGCACTCTCCTTTTAACCCGGCGTTGCCCTCTGGGTGTGGTAGCGGCTGTCATCAGAAACATGTGTGTAGGTCTTCCCAGGACATGAAGAGTCCCAGTTTTATTGTGAGGTTTATAATAATTATTTACCACTCGAGACAATCCGTGGAAAATTTCAGCCGGAACAGTTCAGAAGGCTCGCATGCCACATCCATCCCGCTTTATTTTGTCCTCTTGACACCGCATGTATATATGTTTTTTTATGAACCAATTTCTCCGATAACAGGAACGTAGGGTACAATAATATAGGATTATTATGGGTAGGTGCGGATTGTAGTAGAGTGCTAGTTAGTGCCTTATGCCGATACTAATCCGTACCCCAAGTCAACCAAGCAGCAGGCGTCCAATAAAATATCGATTGAGAAAATGAACCCTGAAGGCAATGCAATCCATGCATTGCCCACTGTTCTCTCCTCTTCGGGTATTGTGAGATATTCCAACTTCTCATAATATGTTTGGTTATTTTGCATTTTTTCCCCAGCATTTTGTCACAAATGTGCTACATCGTTCTTTGATTTGTCAATCCATCGGCGCGATTCTTGTGGTATGATCTGAATCCGTATTATTTTGGTCTAACCTTTGCTGCAGAGCCCGTATGTTTATACTTTGCTGTGAATGTTGCACGTGCATGGCGCTTGCTCTTTCTGTTTTGTTTCACTCATGTTTTTTTGTTTTGTTTCCCCCATGGTAGGCGATTAGTGAGGTGGTGCAAGGGCCTCATAAAACAGTTTGGACGAAGGTTTGTGTTTTAATTATAAATTCACCCGTTTCGCTGGTTATCTGCGCCGTTCAAAGCGGTCGCTGTAATCTACACCGTCCCTTTAACGCGTCTCTCGTGTGTGTTTGTTTTTTCTTGGTTCTTTCGGTAAAGTCACGTAGAAGGGAAATAATAAAATAATAAAAAAAAACATAATAAAACAATTATTTTATTATAAATAATTATTTTATTATGTTTTATAAAATAATTATTTTATTATGTTTTTATTTTTTGGTTCTTTCCGTAAAGTCACGTGGAAGGGAAATAAACTAATAAAAATAAAACATAATTATTTATGTTATTATGCTTCATAAAATCATTATTTTTATTATGTTTTATTTTTATTACTTTATTATTTCCCTTCTACGTGACTTTACCCAAAGAACCAAGAAGATGAATCCCTGCAGTCACGAAAGCTTTAAATCGAAAAATGTGTGTGTTTTGTTTACAAACAATGGGGGATGCTGCCGTGGGGGGATGGTTGGTGCAACACACTTGCAATTCGGAGGTCGTCAGTTCTGTTTGATCTCCCGGTGGCGAGGCGGTTGTAACAGTTGGCGAGTTTATTAAATCCCCTCCACCGACTCTGCTCACGCAGCAGTGTGCCTGGCTACCTACCACTACCTGTAACGTTCCTATCCGCCCCCACTGGACATCTGTGAAAAAGAACTTCAGAGCTCAACGGATTCCTCCAGGTATAAAGAAAGATTCTGAGTCCGTTTCTGAGACTACGCTCGACTCTTGGCAGGTCGTGTGTGGTGGGGTAAAGTGTGGGCACTCCCATCTCTTGCAAAACGTCTGGCCAGTGTGGAAGAGTAGGCCAAAGTATACTCCCCCTGAGTGGAGGCCCTTCTGCCAGCAGTGGCGTGGGTAAGCAATTGCAGGGCTGCGCCTTAACACTTTTATCCTCAACGACGAGATGTATTCCATTAGTAATGTTTAAAAAAAGTTAACATTTGTAACTCAAGCATCTTGTATAACAACGGTGAAAATTAGAAATATGTTTTTTAAATTCGATTCGGTGTTTGTTTTCTCAGCCTATGAATATTCATTGACGTTTATGTTTGGTGTCTGTGATGGGATGGGAAGGTCAGATGCAAGAGTATGCATAATTAATTAAGCGTCACCAGCTGTTTTGGCACACGCTGCGAAACCCATGCTGTTGCCTCTGATCACTTTTGATTGTGATTATCAGTTGTGGGGAAAACATAGCTGAAAAAACACACTTAAATCGAGGAAAAACTATATTTTTTTTACAAAAAAACTGCCCGTGTCATTGTACATTTGACACTGCACAGGCCTTCGCAACCAAATATCACGAATCATTTTCACATCAGTTCGCGCGAGCAAAGAGTGTGCCATACATCCTGCGCCACCTGATGCATCCAATGAATAAACGTGCCAATTCATTACTGCTGCAGTGCACCTCTGTGCTGGACAGCAATGCGGGACTATTTAACAAGGGATTACGACGCTTCGCTGGTCGTTACGCACATACGTTCGCGATGTGACCCAGTGTCAATGCGTTTCTATGTTTAACATTAATTTCCTTAAACCTGTCAAGAATACCAATCGTTCGCACGCAGGGAACTATCCAAATTAGCGTGAATTGAGCCGTGCCTCTAGAAAGATGACTCAAGTGGAACGCAAATGCTAATTAATTAAGTAGCAATCATTTATGCAAGTGAGGGGAAGGATTTGACGGGTAGATTACTTTGCGGTTTTGCTCTGGAAGGGGGGGGGGGAGTTTGGGTGAAAGCCACTGCCATCGGGCACAATGCATTTGACACCGCAAACAACATTTACAAGAGTCGGAAACGTTTCCATTCATGAAGAAAATGAAACGTAAAGTGAAAAGATAAGTTAAAGTGCGAAAGAGAAGCGCGGAGAAGATTTGCCACGCTGGGAATTGCGACGCGCGGATGAGATCAAATTTCCTCGGGATCAATGACAGCATCCAGAGTCTTCTTGGTTCTTTCGCTAAAGTCACGTAGAAGGGAAGTAATAAAATAATAAAACATAATAAAATAATTCTCACGACGTTTCGGCTACAACGCAAGCAGCCGTCTTCAGGTGAAGAATGAGACACTGCCAAGCTTGGAGCTTATATATAAGCTGGGTTGGAGGTGGAAGAAGAGCACCTTGACAAAATAATGTGCATATCAAGAGGAATTTAGCATATTCTTGGGAAATGCGTAGGAGGTGGGCGGGGGGGTTTCAAACTCATACTATGCCCATGCATTATGCAGGATTAGCAGCATCAAAGGGAGGGCGTAGGGGGTAGCATTAACAAAGGGAGGGAATGTTAATAGTATGTAGAAGCAATGAAACATGTCAATGGGAGAGCGGTGGAAGGAGACCCGCAGCGGAGCAAATAATGCAAATAAAAAATGACAGCATCCAGAGTGTTTGAAGGGAAGTGAAGATGGGCTTGTGCCGGACGCGTCGCTTGACGCTGACGATGGCCCGATAGGTCAACGATAGCGACGGAGTGGCGGCCCCGAGGAACGGGGACGCGTCCGACAGGATGCCCACTGATGAACTAATCTCAGGCTCATGGTGGATTGTTCCATCGCAGACACGTGGGAGATGCTAGATTTGAAGCTTTCGTGACTGCAAGGATTCATACTCTTAGGTTTTTTCGGTAAAGTCACGTAGGTAAAAAATGTAAATTAATAAAAGTTAAATTTATTTTTAATTTGTTTTATTTTACTTTTATTAATTATTTTTTTACCTACGTGACTTTACCGAAAAAACCTAAGAGTATGTGGGAGATGCTGGACGATTTTGGGGGAGGCCTTCATCCAGCAGTGGATATGTCATGGCTGCTGATGATGATAGTTGCAATGTGAAGTCTAACTTTCAAGGCCGACTATTCTAAAACCTCTGTGTGTGCGTGTGTGTTCATTCACCGAGGCAAATTTCTCATAGCTCGAGGAAAAACTACTTTCCCTAATGTAGTGTAAAATGAACAAAATTACAATTAGGTTGCTTATTGCAGTTAAGCCATTAGACGTGTTGTTCGCAGCGCTAATCCCTTTCCATTTATAATTGAACACATCTACAATGCGGAGTGAACAAGTGGTGTAAGCGCGGCAATTATAATGCCGAGCCCACGGTCCATCCCAGCGCGATGTATTTCACGTCGCTTGTTGCGACGAAAGGAAATCCCGAGGGGCTCCCAATCTGCGGTGACCGCGTTCGGCGATGGGGAATGCTCTCGCCTTGCAGGAGAGCGCGACTTTTTTCCCTCCTCCTCCGCGTTCTGCTTTTATTGCCAGCGGTACTAATTGCCCCGCGCTCAAATGCCGAAATGTTGTTCCTCGCGCTTTACGTTTGCATGGGCGGCGCACATTTTCGGTGCTTTCCTTTGGTAAGTTTAGACCAAAAAAAAACACCACAATGCGTGCACTGCACGCGTGCCTCTGTCGTGTGTGTCTGGGGGGTTAGCGCGCTGCGCTACTATTTTGGCGAGCCGAGTTTGATTCCCCACTCGCGGCCAACACCGATGATGGCGATCTCAACCGGTCCTGGGCCTCTCCTTGGGCGACTCAGTCTGACAAGGAGAGGCCCAGGGAGACAAAGGTGGGTGGGCGTGGTGCTGGCCATCCACTCTCTCGCGTGCCGTGCTGGCCTTCATAGGTGCTACTCGCTAACAGTGCTTTCCCCAAAAGCGGTCCTCCATTAGGTCAACTCAGCCTTAAACGAGTACGATCACAGGGAACAATTCAACGAAAACGGGGGAGCAATGTTTCGATTCCTATATCATACGCGGGGGTTATCTGCACATATTCTGGACTTGCCGGTGGGAAAACGTTTGCAGACAATTGCGGATTATTGGAGCAGTTCGTAGTGCGACTCCTGTGGACGCCGCTCCGTGAATGACCCCTGGGCGAATTTTTTTTGCGGGCGATGTCAGATGACAGACATACTAGGGGGCCCCACACGGGCAAGAGGAGTTGTTTTTGACTGACCCTACCGCTCCTGCACGTGGCAATTGGCACTGCGGAGTAATCGGGTGGCGGATAAGAGGAGCTCCTCCCGCGTTCGGCGCGGTGAGTGTCACGTGGCGCCGGTCGGAGGCTCGCGCGGCGCGGCAAACCCTCGTCTGGTCGAGCGCCGCACCGCCCGCTCACCGCCGCCTTCTTGTCACCCAGATAGGCACGTGGGACACGGTCACGGGACTGAAGATGCTTGAGGCCAACAAGGACAAGTCCGTCAACGTGACGGACTCGCTGTCCAACCGGACTCTCATTGTCACCACGATACTGGTACGTGCCGTGGTCCTGGGGGGGGGGCCGCATGCCGCACGCACGCACGCCTCGATGATCTCGGCAGGCAGCGTGAACCATCATCACGCAAACTCCGCTCGTTGTTGCGGCAGCGGCGGGGGATTTTGCCGAGCCGTCGGACAAAGACGGTGGTCACCGCATCATCGCGCTGCGCTTTTCGGACGCGCTTCTGCGGCCGTCCGGAACGCTCTCCCTTCCTAAGTCATGTAGATTGACAAACTCAATTTATTGAGAACTGATTTTTTTGTTTAGTTTGTTGTCCTTCCCCTGCTAACTCCGATTTGCACGGGTGGCTACGTACGGTGCGAAAGGAGTTCGACATACATACACGTGCACATATACTTGGAGATGTACACACAGTCACGTTGAGAGTATTTGTTTAACCAGGAGATGAGTCTCATTTACCATGATGCCCTGGGTCATCAGATTGACAAAGGGAAATAATAATAATAATAAAGTACAGCAATGAAGGACAGAGAAAAGGGATCAAAAACAACTTGCGTCACATGAGAAATCGAAGATATCGCTCAAACATGAAATGAATATTGATACAAATGCAAACATAATCAATGCAGACACATACACATAGTCATACACATATACCCAGAGACACGCACAGATAAACCTATACCTAAACACACAGTCATGTAGACACATATACACATACAAACACATACAAAGATCCCCCGTATAGCCTGAACAGACTTTTCGGGCAAGTGCTGTTAGCGAGTAGCACCTATGAATGCGAGGGGGTGGGTAGCCAGCACCACGCCCGACCGCCTTTGTCTCCCCAGTGCTGATGTTTACAAACCACACCAGGTAATCATTTCGGGCTGGGTCGACCGAGGGGAGACCCTGAACCGGGTTCATAAATTCGCTGTCACTGCCATTCGTCGAAGACGCACGCAGTCGTATAAAGCTCCCCCCCGATGATTTTATGATTTTCTGTTCTTTTTCCTTCCTTACCTCCTTCCCTCCCTCCCCCGCCGCCACCGACTCCGAAGGAAGGGCCGTACACCATGTTCAGGAAGTTGCACAGAACTCTTCGTGGCAACGAGCGCTTCGAGGGCTACTGCATGGACCTGCTCAGGGAGCTCTCCAAAATCCTGGGCTTCACCTACGAGGTCAAGCTGGTGGACGACGAGAAATACGGCTCGCAGGACGAGAACGGCCAGTGGAACGGGATGGTGCGCGAGCTTGTTGATCACGTGAGTGAGAGGTGCGCGCGCGCGGGGGAAAGGGAACTTTCTCGCACATTTTCCGGCGAGATCGTCCGCCGATGAAGCCAGCTGTTGGGATCGCGAGCGAGCGAGGGAGCACCGTCAAACTCGGATTGTGCAACGTCGCGGGTTTACTGTCCGTCGCACACCGGTGTGCTGGAGCAGTAACTAATTGGCACATTTCGTTTGCGTGACAAACTTTACCGATTGGCTGTGTCGGGTGGTGGTGGGTTAACGACGTGTTTATTTTTACGAGATCTAACCCAAAAAAAGCTTTACTTTGAGCAATTCCTCGTTTAATGCGGTAGGAGCGTTCCTTAAAAGTGTCGAGTCAAGTATTATAACGGCGCGCGTTCCGCGTTATAACGGTGCACATCATAGCGAAATCGCGTTGTGTGAACGCACATTACGCGAAGACTTGCCGCATTGTTTGTGTGCGTGTGGCACAAGCGCCGTTGTGCCGTCACTTCATGGTGATCGGCGGCGGCTGTTGTTGTCTGTGTGCGTGTGTGTGTGTGGCGCTTCCCGCTCGTGGCCAACAGCAGTGACAATTATGTGAACCGGTTCTGGGCCTACCCTGGGTCAACGCAGCCTCAAGTAATTACCTGCTGCAGTGTGTAAACACTGCCACTGGGGATACAAAGGCGGCCGGGTTTTGTGCCGGCCACCCACCCCCGAATACGCGCCATGCCGGCCTTCATAAGTGCTCGCTCACAGTACTTGCCCCAAAAAGTCTGTTGAGGCTATATTGGGGACATGTCTTTGGGGAGCGGTTAGGCAGCAGTTATCACACTGCGCTACAAACCCTGGCGATAACAGAATTGTTCAGCGCCTCTGCTAGGTTGACTCAGCCTAGAATGAGCACTGGGCAAGGTGAATTCCCAAACATTAGCACTGAGAAGAAGATTATAGTGGAAATGTGTTTGAATGTGCAGCACTGTTTAAAATTCCCCCAGCAGTCTTTATGTTAAATTCCTGCACCCCGTTTTGATATATCTCAGATCAATGATCTCCTATAAATAGCGATGATTTACATGCTTATTTCATGGATGCAGACGTGGTCTAGCGGTCAGCATAACCGGACTCGCAATCCAAAGGTCATCAGTTCAATTATATTTCCTGGTGCGGCAGTTGACAACAACGGTGCAATTTTCTTAAATCACCGCCCCCCCCCCCCCTCCACTTGCCTATGTTCGCCCAGCAGTAAAAATGAGGACAACAAAAAAATGACAACCGTCGTAGATTTGAAGCTTTCGTGACTGCAAAGATTCATACTCTTAGTTTTTTTCGGTAAAGTCACGTAGGTAAAAATAAATAATAATAAAAAAATAATATAAATACTAATAGAAATAAAATTATAAATCACGACGTTTTGGAACGTCGTGATTTATTATTTTATTTCTATTATTATTTTATTACTTAATTTCTATTATTATTTGTATTATTTTATTTTTATTATTTATTTTATCCTACGTGACTTTACCAAAAAAACCTAAGAGTATGACAACCGTCGTAATTTTAGTTTTTTGTCGCCCGCTGGACTTGCCATCCAAAGGTCGCCGCTTCGATTCGATCTCCCGCGCACGGCGGTCTCAACGTCGGGGAATTATCTCGGCTCGTGCACCGTGCCTGTGTCCACCCAGCAGAGTGAAGGGGCACAAGCACACCGAGTCGTTCAGCGGGATGATGCGTGTGGTGGGGTAAAGTCTGGGTCCTACCTCTTTCCCACCTCTCCCAAGGCATCTGGCCAGTGTGTCAGAGCAGAGCCCCCCCCCCCCCCCCCTGGTGCAGCTGTGCGAGCACGCAACTGCGGGGCTGCACCTTTCCGCCTCTTGAATCGCGATTTGCAGTTCACTCAAATGTGTTGCTTTAAGGGCCGTCAGCCGGGTCACGTGACGCGGCACGCGCGGGCAGATGTTGCTGCGGCACCGTAAGGCGACCAAATGAATTTCTCATTAGCGCAGCATATTTAAAATAGGAAAAGAATAAACGTGCCCAATTATTTGCATCCGGCGTGACATTACCCCGTTCGAAATGGCCCCCTTACGCGGGAATGTCTGAGACAATTAAGGGAGATGGGTGACTTTAAGAGCGGCAATTTAAAGGCGAGGTGAATTCGAACGGATGGCATTAGACTCCGCGAGCACCTGACAGCTGGAGAAATAATAGTTGCTTATGTGTACTCTGTATACACATTGCGCAGGAGCTCCATCACAATCGAGACGCATGGGGCTGCTTAAAAAAAAAACACGTCCGGGTGTTTTCAAAGCGGGTTACTTTCGGTGCGTATTTTTTTTCTTTCTAAAATTCTCAAGGACTTAGTGGAATTGTGTGCATGCTGACTCTGTGTGCCTACGCTGTACGTGTGCGGACTGTAATGTTTGTTCCGGTGGTAGAGTAGTCGCAAGGGCAGGAGCTATTAACTTATTCGGACATGAGTTCAAATCCTGGCCAGGGTCATCATCATCATCACTAATTCTTCACGGGTTTCATCAGAGTATTGGTCTCTACAGGCTACGTATGAAATCATCATCGTTGTCACTGTTATCGTCATACTTAAATTCATCGCATGAATCCACCATCACCACCACAAGAGGATGACCCTGTCTGTACCTTTGCCACAGTAACGTGGAATGTGAACGTGCTCCGACTCATGCTCGCCATAGCTGCAGATGCACGCGTGGGTGTTCTCAAGGCCTGCGATAATTTTGCTCTACGGTTGTATGCCGTGCGGGGGTCTTCCACTGCTCTTTTTACAAATTGTCAACAACTCGATTTGGCCGTAAGGGAGCCACATATCGTGCCCAACGTGAATCCGGACCGTGCGATTTAAACGCTTAAAGTTTCGCTCAGAAGTCGCGAGTAGTTTCCCTTCAGAGATCTTTGATATTGATCCTCTGCCGTTTGAGACACCCAAAGGCCTTGCGTTTGAAGCGATAATTGAGCGTTTACACGCGAGTACTTATAACAATAGGTTTTACCTTTCGATTTAAAGCGTTCGTGACTGCAGGGATTCATCTTCTTGGTTCTTTCGGTAAAGTCACGTAGAAGGGAAGTAATAAAATAATAAAAATAAAACATAATAAAACAATTCTCACGACGTTTCGGCCACAACGCAAGCAGCCGTCCTCAGGTGAAAACCAGGTCCGTCGAGGCGACAGAGTCTGAATGAAACAGCACACGAGCTTGGAGCATATATATAAGCTGGGAGCATAGACAAAGGAATTTGCATAGCAAAAGGAATTTAGCATATTTATGGGAAATGCAGGAATGTGATTAGTACTGCATATGCATGTGCATTATGCAGGATTAACAGCATCAAAGGGAGCTGCAGTTACTGCTGCTGCTGCAGTTTCTGCTGCTGCTGCAGTTGCTGCTGCTGCTGCAGTTGCTGCTGCTGCTGCAGTTGCTGCTGCTGCTGCAGTTGCTGCTGCTGCTGCAGTTGCTGCTGCTGCTGCACTTGCTGCTGCTGCTGCACTTGCTGCTGCTGCAGTTGCTGCCTTATCCATTTTAATATAACACTATGTATTATTCTACCCACCCTAATGTGTATCACACTGCTATATGTTTACTATACAATTACGACACCATACATTACTCTGCACACTGCACCATGCCAGTGAGTGGAACGCGGTCTGAAAGTCACCGTAAACGTGAACACAATCAGTTAAGATCCGAAATGGTTTATTACGTCCTTCCAATGATTGCTAAGCCAGAATCCATCTTCTCGGTTGAAATTGTCTCTGTGTTTGTATATGTGGATCGCCTCATGAACGAATCTCTCATGATAGCCAGATGGCTTGCAGAGAACCTCTGTCTTGGAGAAGTCAATGTCATGTGAGCCCACTGAATTGTAACAGTGATCTGCCACGGCAGAGGTGTTTGTCCTACCGTGTTTCAGGTCTGCCTTATGTTCACGGATGCGGTCCGAGACATGTCGTTTGGTTTCTCCAATGTAACTGCTACCACAGAGGCAACTTAGTTTGTAGACGCCAGGATACTGTATGTCTGGAACCACATCTTTTACAGACGGGACCAGATCACGGATTTTATGTACTGTGTTGAATCGGACCTGGATCTTGTGTTTAATCAGGATTTTGGAGATCTTTTTTGTGACCCCAGCAATGTAGGGTAAGGTGATGGTCTTGAAAGGCTCCTCAACAGGATCCTTCTTGATGGTTGGAGTGATGGCTTTGCGGATTGTGTAGTCGGAGTAACCATTAGCCTTAAGAGCTTGGCGTACGTGTTGGAGTTCACTGGAAATGTGTTCATGGTCGGAGATGCATTGGGCTCTATGATATAGAGTCTTGATGAGGGAATTCTTCTGGGATGGATGGTGGTGGGAATCCGGTTTTAGATAAGCATCCGTGTGGGTGGCTTTCCTGTAGACAGAGTGGCTCATTGAACCATCAGGTCTCCTTTTGATTAGGACATCCAAAAAGGGTAGCTTGCCATCTTTTTCGACTTCCATGGTGAATCTGATGGCTGGGTGTATGGAATTGATGTGGTCGAGAAATTGGTCTAGAGCAGGCCGGCCATGTGGCCAGATGACAAAAGTGTCATCTACGTACCTCTTCCATAAGGTCGGGCGTAGAGTGGCAGTCTGGATGGCGTCCGTCTCAAATTTCTCCATGAAGATGTTGGCTACAACCGGAGATAGGGGGGAGCCCATTGGGGTGCCCTCAGTTTGCTTGTAGAAAGTTCCATTCCAGGTGAAGTATGTATTGGTTAAGCAGTGTCTCACCAGGGGGGGTACCCCAGCATTCAGTCCTTGATGAACCAAGTCTTCAATGATTGCGATGGTGTCAGGTACAGGAACCTTGGTGAATAAGGAAACCACATCAAAACTGACAAGCAGGTCGTCTGGGGACAGGGCAATCCCATTGAATGTCGATACCAGGTCAGTAGAGTTTAGTACCGCAGAGGTGGTTTTTCCAGTGAAAGGTCGTAGGATTTCAGACAAAAACCGAGCCAATTTATAGGTGGGG